TTTGAGCCGAATTCTGACTTTGGGGCTCAAAATATGGCTGAATGTGGACATTTTCTTAGCCGATGGAAAAGCCGATGTAGAATTGGGCCGATTTGGGAAATGCCTAGTCAGCGAGCACCGGTTTTCAGCACAGTTTGACTTCGCTCCTCTTTTTTCCCTAGACGACGCCTGTAGGTCTACCATTGTCTACTGTTTACTACACGACACCGCGCTATCCAGTGAGTGGTGTGACAGACAGGAACGCCGACCAACTATTGAATTATGTTAGTGTTGCTTTTAAGGCAAAAATCCGCAGCGGGCCGTGTGGCATTTACAGGTTTGGTAAGATGACCAATTTCTAATGCCTGGTCCTACTTGAAGTACAATAGATGACTTGCACAAAGATCCGAGCCGCGAGTGAGACGGGGCAAGTGCACCCTGTGCACCCAGGCTACACTGCGGGCACCCTACACCAGTGTCCACCGTCTGTAGACTAGTGTAGTGTACTTTTTTTGGTCAGCATGAATGAACGGTGCACGGCATGTACATGTACATGATCAGTACCGTCACTGTCTTCAGCAGCTCATGAGTCATGCATGTGCACTTGTAGGGTTAGTGGAAGCAGGTATTGTACTACTCCCTGAGTGGAAGTACATGACTGTATTATTAATATTATGTGAAGATAAGCCAGGCGTCCAAATCAACCCAAAATACTCTTGCCTTATTCTTCGGTGAAATAGATAAAAAAATTGTCTTACTAAACAACAGTGAGCATAGAAGCAACCTCGATGCACCCAATAATATGGCATCCGGGAACAGCAAGTGTTGCACGAGGATCCCAAGAACACGTCAAGTTCCATGCTACCCGCCGCCATCAAAAGAACGAAGGATAACTGTGCTAGCCTAGTTCATATTCAATGTAACGCTAACGGTACGGGATATAGGAGCCTGTTGGGAAGGCGTGGGTGAGCTGTAAAATCTTGTACGGTTCGCACAGCACAACATACATGCAGCAGTTATTGCGACGGTTAACGTCGATGGACGAGAGTCATAAAGCACAGTCCATGGGGGTTGACGTTTCTGGGCTTCCTTTCCGAAAGGAAAGTTTTATTTCTTCTAAAAAAAAGCAGAATCATGCTGATTATACCAGTCTGTTATGAAGACAAGGAAGCAGCCAAGGACATTGTGCCATACTAAAGGAACGACAGGTAAAAGATAAAGCACTTCATCTGAAAACTCAAGGACTATCCATAAATACAGCAAATGATAATCCTAGCCTGGTAATGTCCAACTCCGTCATGTGAGCCATTCGGTGAGTTATTACGAGAAGCATAATGTTCGAAATGCTGAAATTTGAACAGTTGCAGTTCTGTTAGTCACCACACAATGCCATCGCCAGTTCACATTCGAAATGTAGCCATTTTTACGCTTGTGTCCCTGTACACGGCATGGAAGGCTGAACAGATTCAACTCTTCAATCGCTTCCTGATCTGAACAGTAGTGCGGTTGCGTTCCCGTTCATGACACTCACATCCGTCTCCGCTAACCAGCATCATGAGCACTCCAATGGTTCCCGCCGCTCCTTCCGTATCGTCCCAGCGCGCCCCGTCAAAATGCGAATTACTGTAGGCAACGGAGCCAGTGTGTAATGAAGGCGAATGCACTGTTTGATGATGCTCCAACAAATCCTTTCTGAGACTGAGACCCAGCCGGAGCCGCATCGTCGTCATTACCAGCTAATCATGGGGAGGTATAATGTGACTTTCACCACTCCCTGATTCAATCATAGTTTGCGAGCCTGCGCCAAACTGCTTTCTCACTAGAGCCAGGCATTGGATACATATGGCTTCAGTAAGGTTTACAATGCTATGTCTCTGGCCTAAGTCCAAGTCTAGATACAGCTGCTCAGAGTCGGGGCTGATGAAGTGTTCATATCGGAACAAGTGAGACTTCAACAGTAGCTAGTACACATTAGGCCTGAGGACTTCGCAGCGTTTCTCCAGCACACTTCTTCTCTCCTTCAACTCAGATACTACTTGAAGTACTACTAAAGGCCATCTGGCTCTCACACTCAGTCCTTCCACCCCTCATTTTCGTGGTTTGGGCTTCCACTCGTGACTCGGCAGGTTCCTGGCCTCTCCGCAGTCTGTCCTCAGGAGAGGGTCGCTCTGGAGCTAGTGCAGCCGAATCGAAGGGAATCGAGTTCTTTCTCAGACGTCCACAAACTTTCGTTGTGCTTGACTTCGCTTCCACTGCGGGAAAGTAGTCACACTTCAGGACCACGACGTGTTTGTTGCAGCCTACACCAATGATACTAAAAATAATATTCCCTCATTTTTTCTGCCGGCCGGCTCGGAAAGGAACGTATGGAATGGGAGCCTCAGTTCCATCTCTCGTCTGCTAGTGCATTCAGGAGCGTAGCAGCGCTTCGGCATGACGATACAAGCCGAATCAAAACAACTCTACTCTCTAGCCAAAAAAACTAGCTCAGTGTTCATGGTGTTCGTCAGGCAAAAAGCGAAACTTCGAAAGTCACGAACTCAAAAGGTGGGGAAGTCAGAGTCAGAAGGTCTACTTGCCCCGTCTCGAACCCAGACAATCTTTGTGCAAGTCATCTATTGTACGCCGATTTTTCGGCCGATGCTCCGTCACCGACTGGACATGAAATCGGCCGACTGGGCCGGACTACATAGTGCACACACAAATCTGTCGGAAACGAGTGCGACAACACCGTCCACACCAGGCAATCTTCGCGCCGATCTTGAGGATTTTTCCTACGATTCCAGGATCTCAGTGACGTTGTTGCTGCTTACTTTCTTCTACTTCAGAAGTAGTGTGGACAAGGCTTTAGAAAGCATGAGGATCCAGAGTAAATCCAGGACCAGACAGCGAGCAGTACCAGCACCGCGTATCTTCACCATCGGCATACAAGGTCACAAAGGCCCTCGACAAAGATGCTACGAGACGACATGCACATGCATTCCACGATATTGCGACGAACGCAGTAATATTAATATTATTATTATTTTCACTAGTTTGAGGGAAAGAGACAAACGGGAAAAGTCTGAAGAAAAAATTGACTGTCACCACCAGGACTCGAACCAGGGACCCTCGCTTGTAGCTAGCGATGCTCTGACCACTGAGCTATGTTGGAGTCGTCATCCCAGCAGAGACTGTTCAACATTCTCTTCACACTTCGTGACTCACACTTCCTGTGAATCCACACAGGCGGGTGGGACGCAGCCGGCCCTCACTGCACCCACACACTTCACGTACACTCTAGCACGCGGGGAGCCCCAAGTCATAAACTCTTCACTAGTTTGAGGGAAAGAGACAAACGGGAAAAGTCCGAAGAAAAAATTGACTGTCACCACCAGGACTCGAACCAGGGACCCTCGCTTGTAGCTAGCGATGCTCTAATCACTAAGCTATGGTGGGGTCGTCATCCCAGCAGAGACTGTTCAACATTCTCCTCAGACTTCGTGACTCACACTTCCTGTGAATCCACACAGGCGGGTGGGACGCAGCCGGCCCTCACTGTACCCACACACTTCACGTACACTCTAGCACGCGGGGAGCCCCAAGTCATAAAATCTTCACTAGTTTGAGGGAAAGAGACAAACGGTAAAAGTCTGAAGAAAAAATTGACTGTCACCACCAGGACTCGAACTAGGGACCCTCGCTTGTAGCCAGCGATGCTCTAACCACTGAGCTATGGTGTAGTCGTCATCCCAGCAGATTATTTATTCAAATTTTAATAGGGCAGTCCCCACAGACTCAAGGTCTTCTTACGGGGTAGAGGGGACGGTTTCAAATAGGACACCGGTTGCAAACCGGAACGGACTCAATATTCACTTTCTCTCTTGGTATTTTGATTAGAAAACATAATGTCACAGTGAGACTACTATGTGTTATACTCCGAGCCAAAATTTCATGGCTCTGCGATGCCCAGAAGCGCCATATCAAGCAGGTGAGTTTTTGACGTGTTGCTTCGCACTGCGACTTGAGTTTTACGACTTTCGAAAAATCAACTTCTTGTCGCAGGTAAACAGCGGCTCGCCTCTCGCCAATAAAGCACCGCATACCAACCAAAACTAATGGAAGCACACACAAGGCTTATTGTTACTCTATACTGGCCGTCGTGGAGCGATAGCAATTACCTAATTTCAGACCCAGAGTGAATTTGACGTGCACTCTAAAACGTGTCCGGTTTGGAGCCACCTCTGATTTGAAATTTTTTGAAGCGAAAAATTGGGCAACTTGGAGGCAATGGGTCAACACAAAGGAGTGGCTCAGTTCGATTGACTCTGGCCCCAGAGCAAACTTCAACATGCCAGTTTCCTTCCACAAACATATTTCGAGTGAAAAATCAACGCTGATGATCGGTTTGGGTCTATACAAATTTGGCTGTCAAAACGTCCCGGTATCGAGCCGTCTCCTCTACCCTAAGAATGAAAGTAATGCATGGCGCATATGGCCGATTGGTTTTCAGGCCTGCCTACGAATCATGAGGTCCCGAGTTCAAGACCCGCGCTGGTAGCAGGGAGCGTGTAAAAAGACTTTGGTGAACTGCGCCGACACCCACGGTCAACTGAGTACTCACAGCTCGGAGTGAGAATAACAAGGATGCAGTTTCAAGGGCTATGGGCCGTTACACGCCCGATTGGTTGAGAGACTAACCTCCTCTCCCCTGACTCACTTGTGAGGTCTGCATTCGCCACTAAGGCATAGTGGTGGCCTGCGGATGCGAAGGCTAGTTTGTGTGTTTCTGAACATTCAAGCGATGCAGACGCGGATCCCGCGATTATTATGAAACCACCTATAGGAAAGTTAAATCGAACTATTTAAAAAAACCGGGAGAATGAAGTTGAAGACACCACTGCAGATGTACTTATGGTTGATATACTAGAACACCCTAGAATCATTGATTCCTTTGACGAACTTTCTTTTAAACATGAACATGTCTGGGTATGTGTCACTTTGAGGTACTACTCCGAATAAAGTTACAGCAGCAATCATACCTTGTGTTCCACTTCCACTTCCACCTTGTGTTCCACTCGTAAAGGGTTGGGGTGATGGCAATACGGACGGCAATGCAGGTGGCAACGCTGCTATACGAGTAATATTACCTGGCGGGGTATTCATTGTTAACACTGGTGGTAGTGTTGTCGCTGATAGAACTGACACTCCGTTGCAGATCAGACACAGAGCTACCGCTGTCAACACGAACAGGATCGGACGCGCTGAACGGACCCAGGGTCCATCCATCTTGCAAGGTGTCAAAGAAGCGTGACAAAACTTCAGCGTACAGGACACTTGAGATTTAAGATCGCACCTTTGCTTGCAAACTCTCCTCAAAAGAGTCTTGTCGATCACATAATATGTAACCAGACTTCAACCCCTTCGCTTGACATCTGCTTCTGTAGTGAAGTTCCTGATCAGTCTTGTACCCCAGGAAAGTGTTTTAGCAAAGATGGTTCGGCCAAGAGGCGTCGCGTTTCCAGCACACCCGCTGCACTGTGGCAATGAAGTAGACCCGCCCGATGGTTGAAAGCTGTGCGGATCTTGGCTAGCCCCAGACGTCACTGAAGTATCATCTTTTGCATAGCTAGGGAATGCCAGGATGCCACTGCCCTAGCGGAGTGTTAGTCTCTAGCTTGTCTCTACAGTAGCGGAGAGGGCTGCCAATGACTCTGGGAATATCGGAAGCACAAAGAGAGCAAATGGTGGAAGGAAGCTGAAATGTTTTGGAACTCGCTGGAAACACCTGCTCAAGACGTTCAGGAAGCCTTCAACCGGGAATTCCTCGCGTGAAATCCACCAGTGATATGAGTGATTTCAACCTTATCTTCTTCGTCTGCAGCTAGTGACCCGTAGACGTTTGAGCGCGATACAAGCAAGTAAGGTCGAGTGGCGGCGTAAAGCAAAACTTGTTTTGACTGGCGCAACTGCGCTCCGACTTTGTAGGATATATTTGCTTAGTTCTAAAGCTTGTCCCCTACTTCAAGTTCACATGTGTCCAGGACATGTATAGAGCTACAGATTCATTATTAAGTTTATACTGTAGTAGATATTTTATGCGGAAAGTATAAGAGAAGATGAAGCCAGTTGTAAATCTGATGAGGCCTTTCTTACCACCAACACTTGTATTATTGGGCGCTTTCGATTACACGTTTACACAATTCTGGAACTGGTTTTTTAAATTCTAGAATGACCAGAATGAGCGGATTCTGGCCTTGTAAACGAACGACTGGAATTCACAACGCATTTTATTCATGTTCATGTCACAAACAAAATTGATGAATCGTAACAAGAGACCACGCACACCCTCGCGCGCACGTGGACCCAGCATCGCGCACACGCCGGCCGGGGAAGCTCTTTGCGCGCTTGAGTCATGACCAGACCAGTATTAAACACACCGACTGTGCAATTCTGGCGCCAGAGTTAGAGAAATTCCGCCCTCTCTTCAGAATTGACGGATTCGACGGAATTGGAATAAATCAATTCTAACCACGGAACTTGTCACTTTTTGTGTAATCGAACTGTGCATCAACAATAACTAATTCTAGAATTGACCGAAATGCGTGTAATCGAAAGCGCCCATTGTTGCTGAAGCTTACAACTACAACTTTTACAAGGTAATGAAGGCTTGTGTTGTGAAACTCGGGACTCGCGTCAGAGCGTGCATACAATCATGTATGTGCGCCGCCAAGGCCAAACGGTCCACACGTGACGACCGTACAGACGCCCTGGGAACGTGTCATTTCTTGCCTGACTTCTGGCAGTTCTACATGTAGATCTACAATCATGTGGAATCTACAGCAGTACAGTGCTGGCAACTGAAATCCGACACCCTAGCGGTGCGCTAGCCGCGTTAGCGATTCGTTCGAGATGCTAGGGGGTCGGATTTCAGTTGCCAGCGCTGTAGATCTACGCAAATACAGATCAGTCCGATCAAGAGTCGATAAACATCAACTCTTGGTCCGATGCATGCAGAAGAGGCACAGGTACAGAGTCGGTTGTCCTTTTGGAAAAAAATACCCAAAGATTAGAAGAAAGCAATTTCTGAGTTGCAGCAAAGTGTGAGATTCTCAAGTAGAATTAGTTTGAGGCAATGCTGCCTCAGATGAAAACAATAGCTCCAGTGCTTCTATCTCTTGACAAGTAATCACCGAAGTTAGTTAGTTACCGGAGTGCCTCATCGAAGGCTGGAATGAACTGCCAGCCACTCTCCTCCGCGATGCACCGTCTGCCATAGGGATGCAGCAGTTCAAGGTTCTGACCTACCGCTACCTGAAACGGTCGGGTTGGTCATTGGCCACGGACATCGCCCCCTAGGCTACTGCCAGTACGACCCTGTTCTTGTTCTCGGAGCACTCCCTTCTCATCAAACTCCCAATCTATCTGTATTTATCTCTCTCTAACTCTCCTCCATTCTCACTCTAATCTTTCGTCAAATGTGCACGGCAATCAGCCTCTACTTTCGCCTCAGCATCATGATCTTGATACTGCTATATTTGTACTTGTCTGCGTACTTGTTTGCGCTCATATCTTGGAATAACAAGTTTCCTAGTTTCCTACCCCCCCCCCCCCCTCCTCTCTTTCCTACCCTTAGAGTTCTTGCTCTCCTGCTCCCCTCCCCGCCCTTCCACTCCCAATTTTGTTTTCTTTTGGTGCACATGTGCAGCTGTGATGCCGAGACCCTTGGTCGGCTGAGCTTGACAGGTCCCACCCACTCCGTCCTGCTGGATACTTACCTTTGTGTCGAGTTCTTCTCTTCATTTTAGTTCATCATGCAGTGAGTGTTCAATAGAAAAAAGAAAAAAAAAGAAGAAAAAAAGCTACCTGTCCTATGGATTCCGCGCGGCTAGAAAAAGAGCTAGGCGTACTCGCGGCCTTTCAAGGACGAATCAAGTAACTGTTTTCCGCCGCTGCTGTCGAAGCAGCACGAAATAATGAGAGCGGAGGAGTGCGACATCTTCATCTCTACGCCTTCCAAAGCAGGCACAACGTGGATGCAGCAGATCTGCCATCAGCTGCGCAGTCAAACTGGCGATATGGATTTTGAAGAAATCAGCGAGGTCATTCCGTTCATGCGAGTCTGGAAGGAAAGCAGCGCTTCCAGCCGCGCTTGTTCAAGACTTATTCATGGGAACCACTCACGCCGAAGGGCGGGCGATATGTCATAGTCGTCCGAGATCCCTACGATGTTGCCGTGTCATTATTCAAGTTCTTTGAAGGATGGATTTTCGAAGCAGGCGAAGTTTCGCTGGAAGTGCTCATTACTGAGTTTGCGGCCAATCGCCCTGCTCCGCGGGGTACGTTCCATCACATGGCATCTTGGTGGCCACGTCATGCCGATGCCGATGTGCTGTGGGTGTTCTACGAGGACATGAAAGAAGATTTGCAGACACAAGTTGAGCGTGTGGCCGCCTTTATGGGGATCGCAGACCCAGCTGTTGTCTCACAAGCCGTCCACAAGTCAACGTTCGCCTTCATGAAGGAGCACGAGGGGCAGTATCGAGACTTGCCCCTGAAGCGCAATCGCAACACGGCAATCGGTCTGAGTGCGGATGCTGGCATGGGACAAGGCAAAGTGCGTGTTGGTGGCGGACAGCAGCATATGCTCAGCGACCGTGCCAGAGCGGCTCTGGACGAGGCATAGACGTCTGTCTGCCAACCCGTTATGGGTGGCGAGAGCTATGGAGACTGGCGCAGAGCATGGAAAGCGGAGCAGATTGCAACACAAACCTAGTGTTACCGGATGGAATAGAGGGAGGACAAAACAGTTGTTTTATCTCGCGCACTTGCACACATGCAGTTGTGCGCAGGGACGCGCAGACGCACGTGTGCATCACGGTCACGCGACCATGTACATGTGCTCACACACACACACACACACACACGCGCGCGCGCGCACGCACACACACACACACACACATACACATTCACATACCTTGACCTTGACACACATTGCCTGGGTAGGCTACACGGTCCCCGCCATGGGAGAGGGGTGGTAGAGGTTGATGACCAGCATTTCTGATGGCGCTCTAGATCATGACGTAGTCGGAACTTCATGTGGCATGGGCACTGGGAAGGGAAGTCGGCAGTTTCTGACACTCTCCTGCGTTTCGCGCAGTCGAACTTGTGTCTGGCCAAGTCGCTCGCACAGACAGACAGACACACACACACACGCATACACATGCATACAGACACACAAATACACCCACGTCATAATAACGTTACACACACATGGACCATCTTCCTCCGTCTGTTTCTGTCTCTCTCTGTCTCTCTCTGTCTGTTTCTCTCTCTCTCTCTTTTTCTCTCTCTCTCTCTCTCTCTCTCTCTCCTCTCTCTCACTCGCCCTCTCTCTCTCTCTCTCTCTCTCTCTCTCTCTCTCTCTCTCTCTCTCTTTCTCTCTCTCTCTCTCTCTCTCTCTCTCTCTCTCTCTCTCTATCGCTCTCACTCTCTCCGTCCACACGGGTGTATCGCTGTTGGTCAAGCAAAATATTTATTCTTATCCGAAATGGAGAAGTGAAACTAGCAACAAACTCGGCCTATATTCGCAGCAGTTTCCTAGACCATATTACAAGTCTATAGGAAGAATGTCCCCAATACTGCCATTTTTCCAAATACACCATAATAAATACTTCCTCTCAAATTCTTTTTATGTTTACTTGGTTCAGTGGTGAACTAACTGTGCCAGAGCCAAGTAGCGGTCTGGGGTGTCTGACAATATCGTTACCTGAGCAGAAACCTGCCCATTGTTCAACAGTTGTGGTGCCGGTCATGTGGAGTGAGTCAGCCCAGAGAGCATCATGGAGTGATGAAATAGATGACTTATCTAAAGTCTCATCCCAGGGTTCTCTGGATGTGCACCGGGGAAGCAATGCGTGTGTCACAGTGTGTGTGTGTGTGTGTGTGTGTGTGTGTGTATGTGTGTGTGTGTGTGTGTGTGCGTGTGTGTGTATGTGTGTGGGTGTGTGTGTATGTGTGTGGGTGTGGGTGTGAGGGGGTTGTATGTGTTTCTGTGTGTGTGTGGGGGGGGGGGGGGTGTATGTGTTTGTGTGGTGTGTGTATTTGTGTGTGTGTGTGTGTGTGTGTGTGTGTGTGTGTGTGTGTGTGTGTGTGTGTGTGTGTGTGTGTGTGTTAGGTGTGTGCGTGCCCTGTCTCTGTGGGTGTTTTTGGGGTGTACCGTATTTGCAGGAGTATAGTTCGCGAGTGGCAGCCTGAAAGGCACTTGGGATGTGAACATGAAAATGCTTGATTCAAATATTCGAACATTTGTTTGCGCATTCGATTTCACACATTTCGGTCAATTCTAGAACTAGGTATTGTGGAAGCACCGCTCGATTACACAAAATTCCGTCGTCAGAATCGACAGAATTCGATTCCGTCAATTCTAAAGAGAGGGCGGCATTGCTACTTCTGACGCAGATTTGATGCGCTCGATGTACACCATGGTACACGCCATGCTTGGTCCACGCTCGTGGGAGGGTGTACGTGATCCAACTTGATTCCCCTTTACGATTTTTACGTGCAATCGTTCCTTTGCATGGCTGCAATCCGTTCATTCGGTTCATTCGAAAATTAGTTTCCTGGGTCCAGAATGTGTAATTGAAAACGCCCATTATGCCACTGTTTTCATAAGAATTATAATTATTGCGACAGAGCTTTCGGCCATATACCACTGTATTGGATCCTCTACCCGTCACCACCATGCGCTCTTACAGGCACCAATGTCTTCTGTGTCTTCTGTCTTCATGTGGAACTAGAAAAATGCGCCCTGAACTCGCAGTCACCCAACTGTCATGAAATCGTGGAGTAGACGGGTGGAAAAAGCCCCAGGCGAAAAAGCCCGGGCTTCTTTTTCTCATTCAAACAGGCCGTGAGGTACGCTGTAGCCAGTGTAGGCTGGGTTTTTGCCACACCACTACTTGTAGGTCGAGTGTAGAATTCTTCTACGCTCGAGAGCAGAACGAGAAAGGTTGCGAAGAAGGCACTTGAAGCAAAGTACCGACCCAACCCAGAGTGAGGCAGATAAGCTAGAGATCATCAGTCCCGGCGAGCGACCAAAGGCAAAGGTTGGTTACTTGTGTTCTGGACCGCTTCGTGTGAATGCAATGGATCCACCGGAGCAGTTGGAAAAGGAGTTAGCGGCGTTGGACGCTTTTCGAGAGCTGATGAAAAAGCTGGGCCCACCTGCATCAATGGAGCAGATAGCGAAGATGAAAGTGGAGAAGGCTGATATCTTCATATGCACGCCTCCCAAAGCTGGCACAACATGGATGCAGCAGATTTGCCATCAGCTGCGCAGCGGTGGAGATATGGAGTTTGAAGAGATCAGCGAAAATATTCCATTCATCGAGCACGCCTACGACGAGGGGATAGATCTTGATGCGGACCAACGCTTCAAGCCCCGCATGTTCAAGACTCATCTGTGTGAAGCGCTCACACCAAAGGGTGCACGCTACATCGTTGTGACTCGACATCCGTACGACATGGCCGTCTCCTCATTTAAATTCATGGAAGGATGGATGTTTGAAGCAGGCACCATCTCGTTGGACACATTTATCACCGAACACCTGGTGAAGTTGCCTGCCCCGAGGGGGCGAAATCGTCATATAGCATCTTGGTGGCCACGTCATGCCGATGCCGATGTGCTGTGGGTGTTCTACGAGGACATGAAAGAAGATTTGCAGACACAAGTGGAGCGTGTGGCCACCTTCATGGGCATCACGGACCCAGCTGTTATCTCACAAGCCGTTCACAAATCAACGTTCGCCTTCATGAAGGAGCACGAGGAGCAGTTCAGTGAAATCCCTATGAAACGCAAGCGTAATGTCGAGCTGGGGTTGAGACCGGATGCTGGCTCTGGACAAGGGAAAGTCCGAGTTGGTGGCGGTGAACGGCATTTATTGAGTGAGAGATCGAAGGCAGCGCTTGATGAATCGTGGCGCAACATCTGCCAGCCGGTATTGGGGGCAGCCACCTTTGTTGAGTGGAGGGCAGCATGGAAAAGCGAGCAGGAGGCAACGCACACCCAGAGCCCTGAGAAAGACAGGGAAGACTGCTTATGCTAAACTGTCGTGTCACAGCATTGTATTGGGGAGTTTACAGCCCGCCCTGTCATTTTTCCATTCCTTTGTTCTTTCTGTCTATCTGTCTGCTTCCATTGTGTACTAGCTCCAGTGCACCCCAGCACTGTTGAGCCCTCTTTGCGGTGGACTTGACCACCCCCCCCCCCCCCCCTGTTCTATCCATTTACATGCTTGTATCTATTTGTATCTACTCAATCTGCGGACAGCATGCTGTTTCGTTCTTTGTGAACTCATTAGCGCAGCACAGAGGAAATGAGCCCGAACCTGGTAGCAATGAAAATAACAAAATTCCAATCAGGCCCGAACTTACCTTGCCAGAGTGCTCAAGCTGACAAGTCAGTGAGCTTTGCGTAATGCAAACAGCAAAGGCACTACCCCACACGAGAGTGCTCAACTATTTGTCTCCATTTACCCAATGCTGTAGACAGCAAGCTGTTTCGGTCATAAAGGCCTCATCAGTACAGCTACGAGCTAAGCAGGCCGAGCTACCAGCCATGGTGCAAAGGAGGCACCACAGACATTCAGATAGCTCGTCGCCGGCTCTAGCGCCAGAGTGCTCAAGCTACAAAAAGTATCTATTTACTAATCGTGTTTTTAAAGCGCAATGAATAGGACAAACTGCGCTGTCCTGCTAGGTAATCGGGCATCTACTCGTACATCACGGAGAGGTGAGCCAACAATAGCATGGTATTAGATTTTCAAAATAATAAAGTCAATGTCAAGTGAATGTTACTATTGTAGAAGTAAGACCAATGCCATGGTGATGAACATAGTACAAGTACTAACATTTTGAGCGTGATAAAACACATTTTGAGCGTGATAAAACACATTTTGAGCGTGATAAAGCACATGTGTAAGGAAAGAGAAAGAGGGAGAACAAAATACACACTCAAGTGCACAATACAACTAGAGTGCCAGGTAAAGAGTGTGAGTGTTCGTTGTGATCATTATAATCGTTTTGAATGCATGGGTCAGGTTTACGCTCGCGAATGTAAACTGCTTCCTGGACATTTTTAACTGATAGAAGGTACGTGCAAAACAAACAACACTACACCAAGAATCGTTAAACGTCAAACCACAAGGTTAATTAACAACAATGGTCGGTTGAGTTGCTCCCAGCACATCGGCACGTTATCCTTACATTCCCTATGTTTTGTCCAATTCTTCGTTTCTTTCTGTTCTCCACCTGGTTTCTAGTAGGGCTGTGTTAATAGTAAAAAAATATAAAAAAATATAAAAAATGCTTGAACACTGCTAACTGCTTCTTCTCTGTTCCTGGCTTGGTATTGTTATACAGTGCTGGCAACTGAAATCCGACCCCTGAGCGGTGCGCACACATCGCAAAGACCCAACACGGGATAGTAAAACTACGAAAACATAGACCGCTAGAATGTGAACGCATCGCTATGGGGTCGGATTTCAGTTGCTAGCACTGTAGTTGTGGAGCGGGTTCACTTCGCAGCTTAACTGCTCTTCCATGCTGCCCTCCAGTCAGAGTATGAAGCGGCGCCCATGACTGGCTCACAAACCTCGCGCCATTGTTCGTCAAGGGCTATTTTGCAGCGTTCTGTCAGCAGATGCTGCTGGCCGCCCCCAACGCAGATCTTCCCCTGCCCCATTCCCGCATCAGGTTCTAGTCCGTACGCGGCGTTTCGTTTTCGTTTCAGTGGGAGTTCACTGAACTGCTCCTCGTGCTCCTTCATGAAGGCGAACGTTGACTTGTGGACGGCTTGTGAGATAACAGCTGGGTCAGCGATGCCCATGAAGGCGGCCACACGCTCCACTTGTGCCTGCAAATCCTCTTTCATGTCCTCGTAGAACACCCACAGTACATCGGCATCGGCATGACGTGGCCACCAGGACGCCATGTGATTGAAGATGCCTTTCGGAGCAGGCCGCTTTGTTAATTCCTCAGTCACGAATGTCTCCAGTGAGATTTCGCCTTGCTGGAAGAACCAGCCCTCGAAAAACTTGAACAATGACACGCTTATGTCGTAGGGATCACGAACAACGAGGATGTAGCGCCCTCCTGTAGGCACGAGCTGCTGCCAAAAGTGACTCTTAAACAGCCTGGGTGGGAACCTCTGCTCTCCGTCCAGGCTGACATCCGTGTCCAGGGCACCTTCGATGTACGGCACCACGTTGCTTATCTCCTCAAAGTCCATGTCGCCGGTGCCACTTCGCAGCTGATGGCAGATCTGCTGCATCCACGTTGTGCCTGATCTGGCTGGCGTGCAGATGAAGATATCTCCCTGCTCCACTTTCATCGATACTCCGGCTTGCCACGAGGCAGGAGAGACGAACTGAGAGAAGCGCTGCCGGAAAGGAATAAGCGCTGCGCGCTCCTTTTCCAATTGCACATCGTCCATCTTTAGTCCGAGATCGCTCAAACCGACACTACTACTACTAGTACTAGTATATTAATGCTACCGGTGAATGTTTATGTCTTTCCCTCAAATCCCTCAAACCACTGAATACCAATGAATGAAGCCACAATATCTAGGCAAACTGACACGCCACCACAGTGTGCTTAGAGCTGAGAAATAATTACTTCCAACGCCTTATCAAATTCAATTCAACACACGCCTGCACCAGCAGCTTAGAAAGATCAGAATGTGGAGAGTTTCGTCAGCCAGAGTAGAGCGCAACTGTTGTACTGTATTCGCCGAAGTATGCATATCGCGCACCTGAGCATAATATCTAGGATATGATGCTACTAGTAGTAGTATGCCACACGCTGACCCGTGGTCACTCAGTGGAACAGAACTGCAAGAGTGCCGTGATCATGCAGTGCACGCAGAGGGATTCTGCTCGCCTGGTTAGGCGTGCTTCTACTATAGTAGTAACTGTTGGTCGTAGGACTCAGGAAGATGGCTGACAACTGCATTGACAACGTGCCAGACTGTCACGGAATGAATCTGTCCAGCGGAGGATTGATTGTAGACGCAATCGTGCCCGCGCTTGGATCACCAAGACAGGCAGCTGTTGGAGTAAATAACTTTGCACGGCGCAGTGTAATGTAGCACACCGCAGACATGTCAGAGCAACACACTGATAGAGAGAGCAAGGGTATTGTCTTTTATTCTTTTTTATTATTTTATAGAGTCGGCGTGGAGAAAGCAATTATATTAATGCAATAAAGAGTATAATAGATGCAGACATGGCCAGACAACAAGTAAGGATGTTTATGTTATTCAAAATAAATAATTGAACAAACGGCGAGGAGACAACAATTTGATAACAATTTGATTTCTTCACATTTTCATCGTTTTATTGCACATTGTCTCCACAGTTTTACATACATGAATACAGTTTACACAAATGTCGATCCAGCTTGTATTACTGATTGCGGTTATCAAAATAAATACCATAAACATTTATGAATAACATAAACATCCTTAAAAATTCCATGAACTTGTTGTCTGGCCATGTCTGCATCTATTATACTCTTTTATTCATTTTTATTATTTTATATTTTATATTTTTCACGGTTGATCAAAGCCTCTTTTTCGGGCGAGCTAAACACAATTTTATTTATAGTGGCCACCAAAACAGTCACAAATTTCGTAGTGACAATGGCACCACTGTAGATAAGGGAATGAAGAGAAAAGTCTCCCAATTCTAAATTCTGAACTTCTTGCATACTCTTATAACCCTGCTCCTATGATGCAGTCGTTCGCTCTTATGTAATTCGGCTTGTTTCCCGTTTAATTCCGCGAACTAAAATAAATGAAACGACAACAGCCACATTCTATCGAGCCACATGACATGGCCATCACCAGGGTCTTATGAAATCCTCACCTGAAACCCAATTCAGACTGTGGCTTTCAGCTACCCCACGGGAACAAAGAGGCGAAAGTTACTGGATGATGACGAAACTGGTAAGACTATTGGACATACCTTGGCCTTACTACAGCTCGACGACGCAAAGCAACAGACCACCCAACTTGGGCGGCTCAAGTTTATGTAATAAACATAGAAAGGGGAAGCTAAGCGAAGATGAATTGTGACAAACCGAAACGTGAACATCCTACTGACCTCCACTATCATGCAAATATAATGGACTAGTTATGTACAATAACAAGTAGTTCCACACGACGTACGTTTCGTAGCTTATGCTCTTCTTCGTTGCGCTTTCCTTCCCCTCTTGGACCTTTCCGAACCTGAGCCTTCCAAGTTGGAAGGTTGTTGGTTTGCGCCTTGGAGAAGTGTTCGAGCTAGGTGTCAGGTTGCCGAATGTCTAAGTACTCTTTGTCAGTTTTGTGCCATCCTCTTGATCAGTCCTGCCTTGTTGGCTTGTTTATTTTTCACTACTTGCCTGTCGCTAATACACGAAGATCTCCGACGGAGAAGTTGCTAGATGGGAGCGACCCATCCATTTGAAATCCCTGTGTCGCTGTAAGGCTGCTTGAACAGCTGACGGCAAGTCCGATGTTTTTTGTTTGTTTTTTTTCTCTACAAAATCCACATATCTCCAGACACTGGGGTGAATGATGGAGTGTGGTGGTGGGGCCCATTAAGCTCCGCCGACCAAAGGTCTCGGCTTCATAGCTCCATGGACGCACCAAAGGGATATTGGGTGGGAGGATTAAATTGAAAAAGAAAACAGAAGAAAGAAAATGGAAAGATTGTATTGCTCAGTGAGCAAAAGCATAAGTTGAATATTGATGTGAACGCTGTTAGACTTTTAAATTCAAGAGGAGACTGTCCGTGAGGAGAGATTACATGTATGTCCAAGCAGGGTAGGACACTGTACCCTCTTACTCGCGTATGCTATGAGTGGCCCAGTTCCAGTTCGTTCTGAGGAGATGGTGATAAGCTGCTGTCTTGAACTTTTGGATGTTCTTTGGGTGAAATGGGTGGGGAATGATAGAGGTAGGCAGCTGGTTCCAAATTGGGATGACGGAGTGGGGAAAGGCTCGGCTCACATTGTTCCGGGAATTGGCAGGAAGAACATTCTGTAACTGATGGGGATGCGCGGTGGACAGTCGTACAGCCTGGCGGGTGAGGCGTGTGGTCCTGGGTTGGTGTGTCGGGGGTGGAGCCATTCTCGAGAGAAGAGCGGGAGAATTATCGCAAAGGGCTTTATACAGGAGGCAGAGGGCAGCGATGGTGCGGCGAATTATGAGGCTAGGAAGCCAGCATTGCGGATGTATTGCCTTAATGGCTCGCTCCTGCACCCAGTCCAGCCGATTCAAGTGGGAAGGAGCTGCCCCCATCCAGACGATTGGGCAGTACTCCATAACCGGCCGGACAAAGGCTTTGTAGGCTCGAAGCCGGGCAGGAATAGTCAGCAAGTGAAATGCCTTGCGCAAGGCTCCAAGTCACTGCGTTGCTCGGACTACAACAGTTCGTTCTCCTCGTCTAGCAGAAATGGCTTATCTTCCTGTACATTCAGTATTTTGACCAGTTTCTCCACTGATTGTATAATCCTGGTTCAGTCAACAACAATGGGGAGTCACGGGAGTTGTGTGTTGACCTCCCTCCGTGCTCGGAGACGGCTTCAATTGACGCTACTGACCCACTGTCCACAGGCGCTTCTGCTGGTTGTGCTGGGGAGTCACGGGAGTTGCGTGTTGACCTCCCTCCGGTCGGTAGCTCTGGAAATAATAGTACCACGGTCCAGCAACCAACCCAGATTGCCTCGACTGCGGCCGATCCCGCCTATGTTGACCCTCCCTCGGGGTCTGTCGCCTCGGTTGCCGCCGAGCCCGTTGCTCGTGGTTGTATCTCGGCGGGTTAACTGGAGGTAAAACTGGAGTTTAGGTACTTGTGTATCTATTGAAAAAGGATGAGCTACTTCTGAACAGCCGGGCACCGGCTGGCCTGTCAAACTGCACGGATAAGCCCTGTGACCATTGATTTGACTGTCTCGGCCAGCACTCTATAATAAATTATGGTACGGTATCTGTGCACCGTATGTGCCGGATACGGTGTGGATATGGAGATTCCATATTAGCCATCTGGCTGATTTTAACGGTCATTGTTTTCGCCAGGTTTGCTTTGAATTTTTGGCATTTTATATGATTTTTTCGGTTAGATAGATTTCGGTAGATCTTCCAGGTTTCGTGATATTTTCGAAACTTTACTCCAAAATTGATGGAATTTCTTTCTGTAAAAATTCCCGATATTTTGCTTAGGCCCTCTTCAGACTAGGTACAAAACAGCCTATAAGTCACATTTACATAGAAGTTTCCAAGACAACAACAAGAATCTGGCGGGAAGCCTAAAAAGCTGCCCAATCCTTTCAGGCAGGGTGCGAACCCTTGTACAAGGCAACTTTCCTGCATTTATCGTACTTTCACCAGGCAGTTGTACGAACTTTGTACCCGGGTACGACTGTCCGCTGCTTTCACACATCCCAGGCCCATTGCGCAATTTCGTAGGGTCAAAGGTTGCCTGTATATTGCTTGTAAAATGTGTAGTCTGAATGCAGGCATGGAAAAATGTTGCCTTTTAGGTTTTATGTGATTTTGTACTGGATTTTCTATGTACGTAGTCTGATGAGGGCCTTAGAGAATTACCGGCAAACTTTGCCTACAAGTCATGATTCAGGCTGTTTTCCCTGGGAAAGGTAGCGAGTATTTTGAAGTACACTGTAAACTAAGTAGTTGGGCTAGTTTAAAGTATTTTCTCTTCTTCTTTCGATTTCAATGATTCTTGCTTTTAGTTGCACTAAGTTTTAGATTGCTCAGGAGAACAAGCGAAGAAAAGACTTTGTGACTTGGTTTTACCATTCTTCATCAATCTCAAAATAACCCCAAATCTACTAAAAGCAAAGATCATGCTCTTGCAGACACTTAGGGTGAGGCAACAAGTGAAGAAAAACGGCAGACTTCTTACGATCACAATCACCATCTGATTCCTCGTCTCCAACAACCGCAACCTCGTCCTCCGTCTCATCTCCCAACTCGTCCTCAGTGTCATCCTCCGTGTCATTCTCCTCATCAACAACATACTTCTGTCCCCCCCCCCTCTCTCTCATTCCTTCTGTCGTCCACATGTATCAAAGGAGGCGAAATCGCCTGTTTGTGGTGCGACGTTAAATAAACTTCTACAACAACAACAACAACAACACCGATCGGTCCCAAACTCGCTTCATGTTGTTTAACCTCTGTTCGTTGACTCCTCCTTTGATCTTGATGGTAAATTGTTACCATTGTGGTCCTAAGTGTCTGCAGGTGTATGATGATTTTAGTTTTTCTGTTCTTTGTCGTGCACGGTATGCTAGTCAGTTGAAAGTACTTGAGGCTGTTTGTATTCGTTTGCATAAGCCTGATCTTTGTAAGCAGAAGAAACATGTAGTTGCGTTAAAATTGTTTTCGTAGGGGCACAGCATGATTGTTTGTCTCACTACACAGTTTTAGCGTTATAATTGGTTTCTCACCCGCCGTTGCACTTAGCTCTCACTTCACCTCTATTGTCTCACCTTCCCTCATTCTATTTTGGCACTGTATTTTGTTCTCGTAACACATCATTGAATGTACATGTATATTTAATCATTGTTCAGCATGGTTACTCTTCAGTCACGACTTTCCACTGATGAATGTGACAAGAAAATTAATTCTGGTAAACTTTCATGACTTCGTTGTAGTGTGGCGATGACTGCAGAATTTGTTCTCTTTATTGCTATTATTATTATTATTATTATTGTAAAACTCG